TAATATGATTTTACCATTAACAAATAATAGCATTCATGAATCAATTCAAAGTGTATAATGACATGATTTTATTCATGAAGTTTTATATATCTAATTTCATGTTAAAAATTTTCCGACTTATTTTTTTATTGGTACGCAATTTTACATAATGAAAAAAACAAGTTACACGTAACAAAAATCGGAAACAACCAGTCCAATGATTCTAACATTCATCATTTCTATTTAAAAGAGAGAAACTTGAAATTTTTCTTAAAGGAAGGTCTAGATTATTTTTAAGGAATCTTAAATTAGAACAAGAGATTAATTATACTGCCAAGAGTTCCTGGAATAAGGGAAGACCTAGATAGAGAATTGTTAATGAATTTAATTAATTCTGAAATGAACAATAATGATGGATAGTTTCGAAAGTAAAGCATAAATATATATTCGCGGAAATTATTATTATACTTTAGCATACCCTTTAGCATAAATTATTATTATTATCATTCAAGACTCGGCAAAAAATTTTTTTTGTTTTTTTAATTAAGAGATTAATAAATGTTGCGCAGAAAAATCAATTTTTTTTCAACAAAACTCCAAAATCAACACATCATAAAGAGAAAACAATTTTTTTTTACATACAGTAAATCAATGGCAATAAAAAATACATAATGTGTTCTCTGAGACTTATTTTATTTGTGTACACAAAAAAATTTTATCTTACAAGACAAAAGTATAGTAACTTTTTTTTTAAAAAGGTTACTGGTTAGTGTTTTTTTTCGTCAATTTTCCCCCAACAATCACTCACTGATTCATAGACGGATCATCAATTAAATATTAAAAAAGATTATAAGATAAATCATTAGAACTATTGTTAATGTTAGTATCTTCTTCATCTTCCACATCTTCTTCTTACTTTATTTGTTCCTGGATTGATTCTATTATTTTCCTTCAGGATTCATTTTTTATTGGTAGAAATTTTTATATTTTAATTCACATCAGCTTCTTCCTTTTACAGTAGTTCTGATGAAATACTTTCATGACACATTATTACAATAGGATGCCAAGTGTTGTTGTAAATTTCAGACCAAGAAATTTCCCAAACACATTTACAATAATTGCATTTACCTCTTTCAACAAATGTTTCATTTTTTATTACCAAAAAACAGATTTTAATTCTAATTAAACTGATGATCTTTTGCGACTACTAAAAAAACACAATAAATGAGGGCGCTTATGCCTGTGAAGTTTTATCACCACAGTTAAATATCATAATGAGTGATTTACCAGTTATATGGATGGAATGATGAGTAAAATTTGCATTTTCTATCTAATGTAATATCAGCCTTGAAAATATTTATATTTATTCTGTAGGGATGATAAGGCGAGTAGGGCAAGTGCTAAAAACAAAAAGGTCACTCTAAACCTGCACAACGACTGGATTTTTCAGTAATTGTTGAAATAAAAGGTAATACTATAGAGTTTGGATATCTTGAAAGGGACACCGGATTCTACCATTGAAACAGTGGAGGAATCAAAGGGGTAAACGATAAAAAATGTATTAACAATCTTCACAATTAATGTCACTGGTACTGTGCTAGAATTTCGATGTATGAGTAAGGAGTCTGATATATACAAATCTTGCCTTCTCGAACGTGCACCTATTCCATTAAGTTTATCAAATGCGGATCCTGAAAATGTATACCATTTAATTCATGCATTATTATAATTCAGAACTAGGATTATATGTGTTATGCGTAAAATATTATTGGATAAAGGTAATGTTAATTAATGCAGATGAGCACGATTCTGATGAAACGAGAACAACTATACCTAACATATACGAAAAAATAAGTCAATTAAAATTAATTGTCACAAATTGAGAATATACGAACCGAGATTATTTATCTGCATAGTTCTACATAATCAAAAATCGCTTTCACGTCTTGTGTATTCTTATTTATGATAGTTATATGATCTTTGTCTTTTCTTTGCATGTACTTATCCTGGTTTAAAAATTGCATATTAATATACTGTTTAGGATTATCGGTAAATCTTCCTTGAGTTTTCGCCTATTGTTTCTAGATCTATATAATATAAATGAATGACTTCAATTTTTTGCAAAAGTGATCGACGTTACAAATTGTAACGCGCGCGATTTTTTTTATTTTGAATAAATCGATCCAATTAATATTAGGAGAATATTTTTTATTTTTACCATAATGTTTAATTTAAATCCATTATTTTCAAAGTGAACAAACAACATATGATTTACCAAATGCAAAAAGAGTATTTTAATGTCAACATCCGAACTACATCGCCTTTTTTCAATTTAGTTTGATAGTATATATAATAAATCAAGTGAATCATTATTACGGATATTGAGATATTCTATATTGGGATATTTATTAGCAATCTTAATCAATACTATATTACTAAACCGCAATACTTAAGATTTAAATGAATTATATTTGGACATTGCTTCAAACACTTTATCTGAAAAACAGTAGTGTGTAAATGTGAAATATTTTAAGTATTTACAATAATATGGCTTTTTGATTTGCACATATTGACTCTATAAATTCTTTTTGCCATATAATACATTCTCTCAATTCAATACATTTCCATAGAAGAGGCGCACTACATATATACCAAAACCGATTAACAAATAGATTAGGATATAGGATTAGTTCTAATAGTTCCGGTAAATTAAAAATATCAACTTCCGCCGTGAGTAGTATATTGATATATCTTTCTTTCATAGAAAGTATTCGTAAATTACGGCCAAAAAAATCAATTCATAAATATTTTTCCACCACTTTATCTTCTTTTAAGCGGCAAGACTTTTTATAGATTTCATTTCACTGGAGTGAATTTTTAATATTGTTTAACTACTCTACTAACTCATCTAATGGAAGTTTTAATCCGCATCTCATAGCCTCTAACTTATTATCATTTGATTGAAAAATTGATTTTTGAGAGATTCTTCGTTGAAACCAACTACTTCCACTAATATATTTAATATATAGTTTTTTTTTTCGCAATATAATACTAAAAAGATTTAACTTATTCTATAGTTGAAAATAATGTAAATTTCAAATGGTAGAAGATAATAACGACATCAAATTTGTAGCGAAATTTCTGGAGATCATGTGTATAAACAACTTTTAAATTTTCTAGGATTTTGTCAATCAGAAAATTGCTTATTTTAAAAAACAATCCAATGTGTAAATTTCTTTAATAATTGCTATAAAGCATACATAACAATTATTATAAACACAAATAAAAGATGTATAAGAATAACATATGTTAATTATAATAATAAAAATAAATAAAAGAGATGTAAATAGGAACGTCAAGAAGTTGAAAGTGAAATTTCTAATAAAAGTTCTCGAGAACAAATACAAACAAGAATGGAAGATTATT